CTTTTCCTGTCTGTTTTTGGAGACTAGACTCTCAGTTCCCACAACACACCAAGCATTCCATCCCCAGGGAACAATTTGTGATTCCTGAGCAGCCTTTTACTTGCTTCTGGTCTTCCCTTACTCCCGCTTTTCCTTCCATTTCAAGAACATACTTTTCTTTTCCCTACTTGAGAAACTCCAGCTTATCCTTCAGTACCCAGTTCAGGTGACACTAACCTCTGTAACGAATTCTACCCCCTGATCCCAGGCAGAGTGAACCGCTTGCCATAGTATATCATGCATACGTCTGTGAAAGTCCATATCAGGGGAAGTTTTTACTGTGTGTATTTTTGTTCTCTTTTCTGTTTCTCCCTGGTGTCCCAATATGAGGAGAGGGCAGGCCATCTCAGCTCCTTGAGGAGATGAAGTCAGCATCATCTGTGTCTCCTAAATCCTAGCCTAGGGTCAGGCATTTTGTGGCATCTACCCTCGTCAGTTAAATTTGATGGAGGTGGGACATTGTCATAATCAAAAGCATAAACATGCATCTGTAAGGCTGAGCATTACTTAAAGCTCATTGTTTATCTCTACAAATTTACAGTTCAAGTGCTTCTACTTTACAGACACAATGTGAGTAGGACACTTAAAGATGATGTAAGTGCACAGATGGCATGGTCATCAGAGGATGGTAAATAACTTCAATCTCCCTATAAAGTCATAGGTGTTGTTTTATGAGTCTTTAAAAATAATTATACAGCAAAGTAGATTAAATAATGCTTGAGAAACAAGAGAAACTCTGATCAAGATTTTAATGTAATGATCTGCAATGAAAATTGGGTACTCAAGCCCAAGCACCCTTAATATGGGGGGAAAACAGTATTGGAGCAGTTTTCCTTGGAAGAGCCTTAAAACAAAGTCAGCAGTCAGTTAAGTGACCTTTAAGGAATTCTCTAGGCTCCTACTCGTAAAATAGTAGCTTACATTAGGCAGGTATCTACTGGGTGCTTTCTGCTTTACATGTATCATTTCGATCTTCACAGTAACCGTATACAGTAGGCAATTGCCCAGGTTTTACAAATGAGACAACAGAGGCTAAGAGAGGTTGAGTAACTTGCCCAGAATCACACAGTTCCTAGTGCCAGAGGCAGTACATCAAGGGAAGAAAGTACCCAAGAATTACTTTGGGACCAATTTTTCTCATGCCTTTTTGTCAGCTGTTATATACTAGTACTGAGAATGTGTTGAAGACCCTGTCTTTGTGGATTTAACTGACTTAACTCTGACCATGAGAAAATCAAACCATCGAAGCCAAAGAGTGTGTTTGTTTTTGAGAGTAGCATATTCATCTGGATGTCTTATGTACCCTATAGGGTATTTGTAATCGGTTTCTCTCATTCTTTATTTGTTGACACAAAAGATCTTCCTAACTTGCTTTTTTTGCCTCAGGTATTTTGCTTTTTCTAGGATTCTGTTATGCATTTTAAAATGCTATTTCATGGTGGGGGGCACCTGGATGGCTCAGTTGGTCAAGCGTCCAGCTTCGGCTCAGGTCATGATCTCATGGTGTGTGAGATCAAGCCCCACATCAGGCTCTGTGCTGACAGCTCAGAGCCTGGAGCCTGCCTCAGATTCTGTTTCCCTCTCTGCCTCTCCCCCACTCCCGCTTTGTTTCTCTCTCTCTCTCTCTCAAAAATAAATAAACATAAAAAAATTAAAATCCTATTACATAGTTGGAGGGAGAATTCTCAATATCAGGATAGATACTAGGGACATTTGGGGTACCCTCCTGTTCTCCCTTCCCTTTAATAGAAGCTTGGGTTTTTGGTTTCTCATTTATTGTCTCATTAAACCTGCTCGGTGCATGTGCCTTTCTTTTATGGAATGTGTAAGTAAATAAATGAAACCTGCCCAGTGGGTCCAAGGTGGTAACTTCTCCATCGGCAGGAACGACTTGCTTAATATTCAGAATGTGCATGAGGAGTCAGTTGGATGTGAAGGCATCTGGGACATAATCGGCTCCTTGAGGACCCTGCTGCTCTTTTCTTGCCAGAAGCCCTGACCCTGTCTCTTATCTCTTGGAGGCCAGAGGAACAGCGTCTGGCCAGGACTGCAGGGATCTCAAAGGAAGCAGAGGCCCCTTATTCCCCTTCTCAGAGGGCCCCATGTGCTCACTGAGAAATTCCACAGTGTGTCCACAGATCTGTAGGTTGAGGAACAGCGGGGCAAGAGGGCAGGGGTTTTCCATGGTTGCCTTCTTGGTGCCTGGCGCTTCTCCCAGAAGGCAGCGTGGTGTAGCCCTGGGTCAGGATGATGTTTCCTTCCACTCTCATCCCTCTTGAATAGACACAACTATCTCTATTTTCCAGGCTGACTTTCTTTTTTCACTGAAAATATTTCATTTGATTGTACAGCTTCTCTATTATAAATCTAGGCAACCCTCCAAAGAGCCCCAGTAGGGAGTGACATTCCAAATTGGTAACAGCAGGGACAGGCTCTAGCCCCAGGCTGGATAGGGGCCTGGAGGCCTCTGCTTGTGAGGGTCTGGGCTGGGAGCACACCAGGGAGGGGTTGGAGGAGGGGGTCACCCAGGGCCCAGTGTCGTGCCCCGTGGCTGTTTCGTTTTTTTTTTTTTAAGTTTATTTATTTATTTTGATAGAGACAGATCCCACAAGTGGGGGAAAGGCAAAAAGAGGGAGAAAGAGAGAATCCCAAGCAGGCTCCATCCTGTCAACACAGAGTCCCAACATGGGGCTCAGACTCACAAAACCACAAGATCATGACCCGAGTTCAAACCAAGAGTCGCATGCTTAAACGACTGAGTTCTGTTTTGTAACTGGCTAAATAGGAGCTTTGTCTTGTCTTCCTGGCCTTCGGTCCTGTGCCCAGATACCGACCTACAGGACCCACTTGCCCCCTACACCCAGTAAATGCGCATGAAATTCTGTTTTCTTCCAACATTTGAATCAGCTGGCCTTGGTCACAGCTTGGCACTGCTAGGAGATGGGAGAGTTGGCCTCCAAGCCTTTCCAGGGCTAGATGAACACTGTAGATAATATATAGCAAAGGAAGGGGAGACAATAATTATGTAGACATTCTTCAAACCACTTTTACATAATAATACGTGCCCAGTGTAGAAATGTATTTAAACTGGTTTTTTGCAAGGATGATGTATTGTATAATCGTTGCCGCTTGCTGCAAAATATAATCTTTCCACTAACATATAATCGTTAATTATTATTAACCCTTCGGCTTATTTCTTTGCAATCTCTTTATGTACATAACTGTTCATAACATGGTTGAGGTCATGGTGAATACTCAGTCTTGTAGCATTTTAGTGCTTAAACATTTTTTCATAGAGATCTTAATAACTGTAAAACATGGGTAAGGGATCAAAAGAGGTTTCATCCAAATCCTAATAAGTCCATGAGTATTTGCAAGTTTTACTGAAACTTCCCAAATAAACCCAGAGTAACACCTTGCACGTGTCCCTTGGCAAAGCAGTGACGTGTCCGGCAGCGTTTGGTTCTGAGCGCTAACTGCAAAGGACACAGTGCTGCTGTTAGGTGCCTCCCACTCAGCCCTGCGTGCAGGAGACTTAGACATGCAAGCTCAGTGGGGTCCCGCAGGCCACACAGTTAGCAGAAACTCAGCATTACCTTCCCAGGTCCCCTGCTTCCCCCCCCCCCCCCCCAGTCGATGCCATTAACAAAAGAGTCATTCTTAACTTGCTGCGGCATCTGTAAAGTGGGTTAGACTCTTAACAGGCTGGTGAAATTAGAGGCGCTTGACAGGTTTTATTAAGCTGTAGCTTAAGAAAAGGCCTATTTCAAACTGAGACATGTATGCCTTCTTTTTGTTGACTTTGTGGTTGTTTGGCACATGCTTCTCAGGTTTGAAGACCATATTTGAAGGACTGCTTTGGCATGGCCTGTGACAGGCCTGTGAGACACAGGTCCACAAGGATGGTTATTTAGGAATATACAGTACTTTTTTTTGGCAAGAAGAAAAGATTCCTAAACTGCTGCTACTTCCTATCATTCAAGTTCTTCAAAAGGATGTTGATTTAGTTTTTGATTTGTTATAGTACAGCATGATATCACCTAAAATCCCCAAAGCTGTAAGTTGTGCGGATAAAGATGATAACTTCTGTTTGCGATCTTAAAAAAAAGGTGAGAAAAACCAAGTGTAGGAAGCAATGGTGATACTTTAAATTAGGGGTTTAGGTTAAATATTTATTATTTTCTTTAATGTGACAAAAAAAGCCGAAGAAAACACACAGCTGAGATAGATAGTGGCAATAATTCCTATAAACTGGGTTATTAACTAAGCTACCAAGACCTTTAAAAGCAATTAGTACTACTTCTAAAACAGTTCTTATATCAGTTATGATGGAGGAATTATTTTTTCAGTGGTACAGAAACTGTCAGGCTTCATGTTGGGTTAATATCTGTTTAGTTTTATGGTAATTAGTCAATGAATCTATGAGATTCAACCTCAAAAGATGAGTGCAACAGATAATGAAATACACAACGTGGCCAGCTGTACCCACGTTGGGAAGCTGCTTTCTTGCAGAACTAGGAATGAATCTGTCCGTAAAAATGAGCATTATATTATTGATTAAAAACTCGCGAAACATTAGTTTGCAGTACCTTGATTTGAAAAAGCATCACTGAGTGCTGATGTTACAACTTGAGTTCAAGAAGACAAGATACATCTCTTCTGTGAGTGGTTCATTGATCATTATCGTTGACCCAAATTCATCTCAGAGTAAGTATGACTTGAAAGTTTCCAGTGAATTGTGCTGAGCCTAAAAATTCTCCCCAAACCGTAGCATCTGTTCTGTATTTACAAACTGAAAGAACTACGGATGTCAAGTGAAAGAAGATTCTATTTCCTTTAGAAAATAAGTCTTTGTTTTTTTTTTTAGAAGTTTACATCAAAAATCTCTTCAAACTTTAAAGCTCTTAATTTCCGTGCCCCGGGGTAGCTAACGTGTCACCGTTGCCATCTTGCCCTCCCAGTGCCCTGCCAGACTGTTCTGGATTACTTGAAGACCGTGCTGCAGCATCACAACCAGCTCCTGGTCCCGCAGCCCGCCGACCAGCCCGCCGAGGTAGGTTTCCAGCCAAAAGGTAGATGTCCTTGTGTTTGTAGTTTCCCTCGGACAGAGCTCCTCCACAGCTTCCGCAGATGCGCCTCAACAGGGTGGCCGGCACGACACATTTCTGACTTTCCGAGGTCTACGGTGCTTATTACCTGTGAGTCCATATACTGTGGAGGAAGATCATGCGTGTATTGAACTCACCAACATTCAACGCTGTACTCTCAAGGGGGCGGCAAAGAAATACCAGTTTAAATGGCATAGGCAAGTCTTTTGGCATTCTTTCCGCACAGAGGCTGAAGTGGGAAACGCCAGCCCGCCCTTCTCTCTGGCAGAGCCAGTGTTCCAGAAGGCCCCTTGGTCTAAGGCACCACCCGTGCTTCTTGATTTTTAGTTGGGTGTTTTCCTGACCTGGGGCTCTGGAATGCGAGCATTTCTTCCTCTGGAGCTCAGTGGGAGCGACCACAGTCCCTCCCAAAGTGTAGGAGAAAGGTCTGTTCTGCTGGTATGTCGGTCTAAACGTGGTACATTTTTAAAAATAAAAAAAAATAAAAAAAAAAATGTGGTACATTTTTACGAGATTTTCAAGGCTTGGTTTCGAATATATGTTGTTTAAATTGTATGAATTTTCAAACCTAAATGCAGTGGAGGAAACAATAGCACTGTACTTTGCTGAGGTTAGAAATGTCCTGGATTGATAGCAGTACGTCAGCTCTTTTCACATAGTTTTCTTCCCTTGGCAAGGTGAGTTGTTCACTGGTGATGGCAGGCTGTGGGCCTTCCTGTCTCCTCATCACACATCCTTCCACACTCACTGTGTCTAAGTGAAGTCATCTTGAAATTCCATCCTCGTGGGGCGCCTGGGCGGCTCAGTCTGTTAAGCATCTGACTTCGGCTCGTGTCATGATCTCACAGTTCATGGGTTCAAGCCCCACATCGGGCTCTGTGCTGACAGCTCGGAGCCTGGATTCTGCTTCAAATTCTGTGTCCCCCTCTCTGTGCCCCTCCCCCACTTGCACTGTCTCCCTTTTTCTCTCTAAAATATTTAATTTTTTTTTTTAAATTCTGTCCTCATGCGAACCGCTTCATAGATCCAGCCGCACACCTGCCACCCTGAACCCATGCCTCTCTGCTGAATATAGACAAGGACACACAACTTCCCACTTTTCTGCACATAAAATTGACCAGAGGATGAAAAGACCCTGAAACTCACCTGTGGCGTGAGACCTGTCTGGCGGTCACTCCCTTTCCCTGAAGTTTGGCGGACCTCCATCAGAGGCCTGCTCCTTTCCTCCAGCACCCTCTGCCTGGTCCCACCACCCTCCCTCTCTTGAATTCAGCAAATAAGTAAGCGATGCCAAGTTGAAGTCAATCCAGCGAATTCTGCCGTGCTGATTCCTACCTTCTGGCACACCTGGCGCCCCCAGGAAGCCCTGCCCCACCCCCTTGCCGGTGCCATCCATCCACACCTGTTCTTTCACCCACACTGCCCTCCCCCTTCTGGGGCTTCGTGCCTTCAGTTATTCCTTGTCTTGTGCACCGATTTACTGGCTCGCTCCTCTGAGTATCAGACGCTCAAGTCTTCCCACCATGAAAATAGGCCCAGTGCAGCCTCTGTCCAGACTTCCACTGGGCACCACTGCGCATCGGGTTCCTTGAAGGTTGGGCCAGGTCTCATCCCACTCATGACCCCAGCGCTTATTGTTGAAGGCACTTGCGGAATGGTCACTTCATTTTTTAGTGACTAAACACTTGAAAGACTGGTCTGTATTCATTTCTCTGCTCTTGGTTTCCAACTTGCTCTTCATCCCCCGGAATCTGGCTGCACCTTGACTACTTACTGAAGTCCTCTGCAAGTGGCCCTGGGGACGCTCCCAGCCATCCAGTGCGAGGCCCTTTTTCCAGCTCCCATCATCCCTGGGACCTCACCCTCCTACTCCATGCTCTCTCTTTCTCTTGGCCTCAGTGTCAGGACTCTCTTCTGGTTCCCTGGCCTTATTACACCTCAGGGAGTTTCCCGTCCATCGTTCCCCAGAGTGTCCCCCTTCATCTCCCTCTCTCGCCATCCACTACCCTTCTTAGGTCAGTTATGTTCTCGCTCTGGACACCAGCTACATCCAGGCTAACAAGTCCCACATCTAGATCTGGACCACCAGTCCCCAACTCCCAGCCACTGTGTCCTACTGCTGACCCACAGTGGAATGCTCTCGCACCCTCAGACTCCTGACACGGCCTCTGACAGCCCATCCCTACCCCTCTTTTCTCTCCAGGAAAGGCAGCAATAACCGCAGGCAGAAATTTCTGAGTCATCACTGACTCCTTCCTCTTCCTCATTCCTGACATCTGTTTGTTCCACAGCTGCATTACATTGAGTAGTTTCTCTTTTCTCTCCCTCCCCACACTTTTTACCTGGGCTATTCCAACAAGATTTTTCTTTCTCCACACTAGGAAGTTAATTTTCTAAACTAGCATTTATTCCAGAATAAATGTCACATGCTTGAAATCCTTTGATTGCTCCCTAGAATAGGATTCACATTTCTGAACTTGACATTTCTATTATACAGAAAAGCACTTCCAAAAAGCCCACTTCCTCCAAGAAGCTCTCCCTGATTGCCATACCCTCTCTGTGCTCACAGAGTACATTGTTCCTAAGAGTAATTCAAAAGCTACTTAAATGTTAATGCATACATGTCTTCCATTTGTTTATGAGTCTGTGAAAACATTAAATGAGTTGGGTTTTTTTCAAAGTGACATATAGATCAGATTTTAATAACCTGTTGGTGGTTAATTGAAGAGAATATTCAGTGAGAGTTCCATAAAAACATAAAAAAAGGACATATCTACATTTCCTCTGGATTGGAATATTTAAACTTTTATTACCCATCATCACCATTATTCTATTTTTACTGTCATTTCAGGCATTTGGGCATTTTCTCATTAGTATTATTGATCACATTTTATTTCTATTAACTATGCTAAAACAGTATGGTAAATCTCGTCCTTACACAAAACAGGGAGCATCTGAGTTGTTTGGGACTGTAAATTGCTTTCTTCCTGCTATTCCTTTTTTAAGAAAATTACCTCCAAATGGTATTTTTACACTTATGGAGAGCTTCATTTTATTGAGAGCTGTTGAGCTCTTCTGTACGAGTGGATTCTTTCTAAGGATTCGAGAAAGCTCCTTGGTTTGTGAGCTTCCTCATCTCTGGTACCTCTCATCTTGAAACAGACTCAACCCTGGTATTAGGGGTGGACTCTGAATTCGGAGACCAGGTCCCCAGTTCTGCCTTTTTGCCTTGTGAGACCTTGGAAAATGATTTAACATCCTTGGCCAGACAGTTACAGGAACGCTGGCTTGCCCAATGAGCTCAAAGAGCTCCGACACGCAAGGGAAAGCTGTTTTTAAAAGTTGTACAGCATTAGGGGCACCTGGGTGGCTCAGTCAATTAAACATCCAACTTCAGCTCAGGTCATGATCTCACAGTTCGTGGGTTCAAGCTCCACATGAGGCTCTGCTGACAGCTCAGAGCCTGGAGTTTGCTTCAGATCCTGTGTCTGCCTCTCTCTCTGCTCCTCCCGCACTTTAACTCTGTTTCTCTCTCTCAAAAATAAACAGTAAAAATATTTTTTAGTAGTAAAAAAACTTGCACGGCATTAAATAAGTAGAAGGTTTAACAACCAGCTTCAGTCTCCTTTTCTGAAGCTGACATTGTACTTACAAGGACCATCATGGAGAGGATGATCTTAAATTAAGGATTAGTGGAAGCCCTCTGTCCCCAGTACCCGCTTTTAATGGGGACTTAAAATGGGGGCTTAATGGAGACCCTTGTCTTTGTTGTTCTCCTTAAAGATCTTTCACTTTGCCAATTTATATTCATCAGAAGCTCTTCAGATGTCCCAGTGCCACAGCAATAAAAAGAGAGAAAACAAGAAAGAACTTTCATCATAGTTACCATTCTTGAGTGTGCGCTTCATACCAGCTGCGCTAGCATCCTCTGCATCAGTCATTCCGCAGATATCCATTGTGCCTGCTGTGTGTCAGACGCTGTTCTCAGCCCTGAGAGTAGAGCACTGAGGAAGGCACAGACTAAACACGTCAGCCCTCCTGGGCTTATCTTCAGGTGGAGAGACTGGCAGTTTCCTCACCACAAACCTGCAAGCTAAGATTGTCATTCTTAGTGTGACAGAAAGAGCTGAAGTTTAGATGTTGGTCACCTGTCTGAGGCACGCCCCAGAGCCCAGCTTTGCAATGGTACCACCCGTGAGGGTCACAGAGACCAAAGCTACAGAGTGCACGGGGCTGGCCTCAGGCCGTGCATTGCTGGCTCCATAAATGGTGACGGTTATTAGTAATGTTCTTCCACAGAAATACTTTTGACACAATATGTGGTCTGAGGCGCCCAGCCCTGGGTCCCCCCTTCCTCAGGCCCCACCCTGCTGTCCTGAGGGCTCCTCTCATCACAACCCTTATAAACTCATTCCTCCCTGTGCATGGGAACCAGATGGATTCTCTTCCTTGCAATCCACCCCTTCCTCCGCACCGTGACCCTCTCTCTGTTTCTTGTCTTTGTGAAAGACACCACCATTTCACCTGGGAATCACCTTGACTCCTCAGTCCCGCACACCCTGGCTCACTGGAATGGTTGTCTGACCCCCTGGATCCTGTACCTTTCCTCCTCGCTTCTCTGTACCCCCAGACCCCCGTCCTCCCTCCGTCTCTCACCTCCCACCGTGAGAGAGCGGCCTGGGCTGAAGGGACCCTTTGGAAACTCTGGACTCCTGTCCATGTGGAATCATGTATAGCACCAGAGCCAGGGCTTGGCTTATGCTCCCGTATACTCAGATCTTAAGCCCACAATAATTTAGTTCTTCCCATTTTACGAACAGGGAAACTTTGGTCCAACCAGTTGAAGTCACTAGCTCAAAACACACGAATAAGACCTGGAACCAAGATTCAGTTCAGACTCCAAACTGGTCTAAATTCAAAGTATGAACCATGTGCCTCAACTGCCTCCCTTAACAAGGAATCCGAGTCACACTACTCCTAGTTCCAGGAAGTGTGACCAGTGTGGTGATGACTTTCCGTAGGTGTGACTCGGTGACAGCTTCAGAGGACAGTCTGCACCTTCCCTGTGGGCCTTGTGCTGTTTGCCCTTCTCAGTGCTTAACTAACAGCACTTTTTGAAATAAAACCCTATCAGACCCAAACAGTGCCAAATTTATAACCTGTAGTAAATTTGCAGAGTTGTAAAACTGAACGAGTTTTTTTTTTTATTTGGTACACCTTAATTACTAGGGAAGGAGTACATTAAAACTAAGATCATGGGTTAATTAATTTGTCCTGGACTGTAGAATTTTATGGACAACCAGAACTAAAGTAATGGTTGTGTAGGTGGAATTGACTAAACATGGCTTCTAAATGTTACAGAAATTCCTGTAATTAGTCCCACTGCAGCTATTGAGCCTGGGAATTTTATAGCATACATAAATTAAGATGAAAAGGAAGAAAAATTTTGAGTTGACATAGTGGCATTTGCAGAAGCTATAATTTGAGGAAACCTGGTTTGCGTTATTATTATTAATTTTTTTTTTAGTTTTCACAATTCCCCCCTTTTTAATTCACTTTTTAATGTTGTTTCTACTGTTATGCAATGGCTATCATAGGTGTTAGGTGAACTAAACACAAGTAATACCTTACGAAAATAGACCACTAGCATCATTTCTAAAAATACTTAACCGCCAACCAAAGGATGAAGAGACCTGTTTGATCACACTCTTCAAAGTCATTTTTGCATATTTTAATAGATTGAAAAGGAAAGTTACGGGTTATATTTAAATACTGTTCCCTGTCATTGGATCTTGACACATTTTAACCTACCTGTTAAAATGCAAGTTATAAATAGCTCGTCTTTTCAAAGGTGTTCATTATACCTCATTGGCTCTTGTTATAGAAAATGCAAATGTAATTTGAAAAGTGCCCGTTCTGAGTGTGAGCAATTACCTGTGCTCTTCAGTACCTGGTTCATTGTCAGCAGAGCCACTTGGTTAAAAAGCATGTTTGCCTTTGAAATGGAGATCGCCTTGGCTGGCTGGCTAAGTAGGTAATGAGAAAATACTTCGCTTTTCCAGGGAAGCAAGCAGCTGTTGAACAACTATCCTGTCTACATAACGAGCAAACAGTGGGACGAGGCGGTAAATTCTTCAAAGAAAGATGGGAGACGGCTCCTTCGATACCTCATCAGATTTGTTTTCACAACCGATGAGCTTAAGTACTCATGCGGCCTTGGGAAAAGGAAAAGGTCAGTGCAGTCAGGAGAGACAGGTCCTGAAAGACGCCCTCTGGATCCAGTTAAAGTAACATGCCTCCGAGGTACTGCATCCTTCCGCTCAGTGTCACCATCTGTGATCTCATTTCACCGCATTGGCTGTGGCTCCCCCGTGCAAGTGTTCAGCCTTTACTGTATTTTGGTTTTTCCTGCTGAGACCTTTCTAGGCTTCATGTGGCCCATCTACTTGGTATCGAGAAGTTCTTTAAAAAAACCTTTGTTTGCTTTTAGCCTTGGTGTTCTCAGTGGCACATAAGCATTGCATAGCACCTCATGTTTCACGCTTTAAATCCAGGGTTTCTTGGCTGCCTCAGAAGGCCACCTCCAGCAAAACTGGAGCATTGGGAAATGCACGGAGGAAGGGAAGACATGGAATTTTCCAAAACTTAGTAAAACGATACCTCCCATTTCCATTTGCAGCTTGTGCCCCCCCACCACACCCTTCTCAAGAGTATTTGCACCCTTGCACCTAACTCATTACATTTATTTAGAATTAATTTCCCTTAAAATTGGGGTGCCTAAAGTATTCATTGCCCAGTCAGACTTTATTTCGTTAGTATTTTTAAAGTGTCTGTATTTATAATGTTGCTTAGATAATACCATTCCCTCTGTATTAACAACTGATTACTTTGCAGCTGATCCACATGATGGTAGGCCAGGCAGAGGGTAAGAAGGAGGAATCGAGCTATAAAGTTGATTCAGCAGGTGCAAATAAACACAGATTTAGACAGGTAGAAACATTATAGTGCCACCAGGAACACTGTTCACGCAGGACAAATTCACATCAGAAGGCTCAAACATTAACCTTTATAATTCAATAGTAGTTTTATTGGTTGGAAAAAACTAATAATTTACTTGGGCAGGGATCAAAGTATTCCCTGGTGAAGCAGTCACAGTAAAGAAACATTATTACTGATGTGGCCTTGGTTTTCAGAAAGAACCCTCCAGCATTCCCTCCCGGGATGCCCGTGGTAGTCCGGAACGTCAGGGTGCCTAAGACACATATGTAGGCTTGTTAGCAGCTGAAATTCCTCAGCAACCCCACCCCCAGGCTTCCAATTTAGCAGGTCTGGAGTGGGAGTGAGAGAGTCCTGCATCGCTGCTCATCACAGGTGATTCTGGTGCAGGTGGCCCATCCTTGAGAAAACCACCAGGAAACCACCACTCCATGAGGCACGAGTGAGCCAGAGCACCCCCTGTTGGCCAGTCTGAAAATTCCACCTACTCAGTGGGTGATGGAAATTTCCAGGGTCTTAGCAAACTAGTCATAGTTTCCTTCATTCCTCAGCATCATCAGAGCTGACAGTTACTCACCAAGAGTGACAGGCATTTGTGAGGTTGGGACACTCCTGGGAACATTGTACTCCAAGAGGTTGCCCTAGGAATTTTAAGGGGAGTCCCAAAAAGGGGCCTCACAGTTGTATCCCTTTCCAGAAATTCTTATTAAACATTTTACATTTTAACCAGCAAGTCAGTGAAACCGAGGGATTAGCGCACATTCCAAACCACGGTGCTGCTGTCCTGAAATGTTGCCTGGCCCACTGTGACACTGACAAAATCCAGGTTGGCTAACCAGAATCTACATTCTCCAACTCATGCCTCACATGGGGACACACCCAGAGGCATCCACCCAGCCCCCGGGTGGAGATATGTAGGCAAAACATGGTGGCTGTTTGTGTCAGGGGCAGCCAGTTAGAGCATTTACATGTTTGTCCCAAAGGCTGAAATCCTAAGGCCTTCCTGTGACCCAGAGGGCATCCCTTTCCTAAAGACTTAGACCTGGTGATGCCCGAAGTGGACAACCCTGTCGTAAGCAAGATTAGAACAGCCGAGGAAACCTCAGACCATTGAACACTTTAGTGATGGAAAACAAGGTGCCTTGCGAAATGGAACCAAACTGCAGGCTGACCTCTGCTGAAGGTGGTTTGACCCTAGAGGGAAGAGGCCCTGTGAAAATGCTCCCTATCTGTGTAACAGCCTGAATTCTGCCTTTAGATTTTAATAGTCTTTACCACAATATTAGAGAAAGTCCTATGTCAACAACAGACACTAAAGAGAGGGTGGAATTGAGAGGTGTCACAGAGTGGCACATTCTCAGAGTTGCAAGTTCACAGTGTCCTCATTCCTTAGCTTTTAAATCCTCGGGTTGATAAGAGTGAAGAGTCCGGACACAGACGACTGGAAACTACAAGTTACTGAACACTAACTAAATACAGAAGGGGTGTGAAGGGGACAGAGAAGGATTAGGGAATTATCCTTCAGTGTTTCCCAGGTCTGTGCCCAAGGCTAAGCCATCTGATTCTGGCACTTTGGGAAGATGAGTTGCTGAACAAACATTGTTCTTTCCGTTGAGGAAGGCAACCAAGGCTGGGACTCCGGTGAGATGAGCGAGGCTGTCACCCCAGGAACAAAATTGGAGGGAATGCCAGTGAACTTGGTGATGCCCCTGTTTCTCCATTGAGATATACTCTATCTACTAAGATGGGCACAGTGAATTCAGTTCTTGAGATTTTTGTGGTCCACGTACTTGAAAAGCATCAGCGTCTCCCAAAGGCAGATAGGGCCAGGATTTCACACAGTAATTTTAGACAAATCCAGTCCTACAACCAGACCTGTTGGAGAAGAAACTGGGTGCAAATAATAGTCACATCACACTTGGAATCAGCTATGCAAAAATAACACAGATTGAGTTAGAACTTTTTCCAAAATGCTCACTTCAGTTTACGAGGGTTCATAGCCAGGTAGAGGTTATGCCTGGGGCCTGACCCCCTGAGAAAACCAGAAGAACGGGTCGTTTGAGCTGAATGCAAAGGGAAGCCGAGTTTGTTTCATGGGAGTCTTAACTACTTTTTATATATTCACCCTTCTAGGTGTACTGATTGCTTTCTGGTGAAAGTAAATATTTAGAGGAAATCTGACGTAAAAAATATTTGTCAGCACATGTGTGGATATCCCAATGAGAGAAATACGTATAACCTACGATATGTGTTGAGAATGTGGAAACCACTTCTGAACTACAATTTGGGCAGTTTCTCAGTCATTGAGATTTTGTTAATTCTGTTGTACTTACTCTGCAGATTAGTGGCTGGTTAAAGAATACCATGCCAACGATACTTGCTGTATTTCTGGAAATAGTTAACATTCTAAAAATGTTAGATACCACCACAGGTTTGAAACGTACTCCATAACTCTTACTAAGCATGGTGTATCGTACATCTTGCAGATGACATTTACCTTTCATTCCAATAGCAGATGTTCCTTAGGAGGATTTTTACTTTTGCCCATGAGTAGAAAACTTACATGTAATAAGTTGAGTCTGAGGAGTGACATCATCATAGCATTACATTGGATTTCCCATAAAGATTTCTTATAGAGCTTCTGTAAATGTTTAAGCAGCCTGCCTGTCATCTTCTGCAAAAACCAGCTGTTTTTCTCTCTCTCTCTTTATTGTTGTGTGTATTCCCACAGAATTCATTAGGATGCACTGTACCTCCAACCCCGACTGGTGGATGCCCTCGGAGGAACAGATAAACAAAGTGTTCAGCGACGCCGTGGGTCATGCCCGGCAGGGGCGGGCTGTAGGGACTTTCCTGCACAACGGTGGCTCGTTTTATGAAGGGATCGATCACCAGGCTTCCCAGGATGAGGTCTTCAATAAAAATTCCCAGGATGGGTCTGGGGATTAGTGGACAAAATCTTTACACTGTAGTAGCTGGTCCTCTGAAGAGTTCCAGTTGTCAGCGTCCTGTTACCATCACCTCAGAGTCCAAAGCATGTCCTCCTCGCAGACTTTCCACATCCCAAACCGTAACTCTCTTGACCCTCTGCCACACTTCCCAAATAGAAATCCATTTTAGGGTTGTTTGGGAAGTCTCTGGACCCTACTACAGACTTTCAAGATATTATAAAAGAAAAAAACGAGATTTTGAATGATTACTAGCTAGACAGTGAAGGTGAAAAGAATAGGCGAGCTCCTGGTCACCTGTCTGAAATCATCAAGTGAGCACTGCTTCCTGAGCAGAGCTGGTCCTCACAGATTGGGGTAGAGTGCCTGCCCATGACAGGAGGTAGAGATCTGGAGTTATTTTAAGGGACAATGAACAAACATTCTCTGACTTTAATTCAAATTAGTTGTCTGTTTTCCAAAGGCTTGAATTCATACTTCTCAGCGAAGACATGGGTTAGGTGACCTTGTAGGCTGTTTCTACATTGATAAAGCCTATATTAAAAACAAGCCAGAGAAAAGACACCGCTAGACAGTGATTAAGTGGAAATCAGCTGGGTTATTTTTCAGGTATTTTAACCCCCTAGAGTTCTACCACGTTGATCAGAAAGCCACCGTGTGATCTCTGGGGTTTACAAACAGTAAGTTTTTGTTATGTCAGTCAAGAAACCTCCAGGATCCAAAACCCTTTTCAAAAGCTTGATTTTGTAGGTTCATAGACTCACAGCTTCCATGGCCTTCACGCGGCCTCTGGTGACACATTGCCAGAGTGATGGGCTGAGCGATGAGAATGTCAGTTGGTTGGTTGGTTGGCGCACTGAAGAGCAAACAAGTGGGGGACTGATGGGAGTTGCTGAATTGACCAGATGTTCTGGAATTGTATACACACAGCTTCAAGGCCGTCCCGACAGCTATGCAATGGGCTTGCCTGTAATTTCTCTGAAATGTGAGGGTCATTCTGTGCTGAGTTGATCTTTAGAATTTGCATCAAACTTTTGTTACTTGTTGTCATTGACGAAAATGTTTCATCCCAGTGTTTTGTGCCTCCTTCCGGCTCAGCGTTCCCTTGAGCTACAAGCTCTGGCTGAGTTACCACTAAACCACTCCCACTTGTTTTCCCCTGTTTCCTTTGTTGAGCTCCATCTGGAGAGTGAGTGCTGTCTTTGGGCGCATTCCTTACCTGTACCGTGGAGGTGCTAGAACCTGGTTCTGAGGGCTTCAGGTCTGGGTGGCAGGAAAGGCTTCCTCCATCACGCGTATTGACGGTTCCGCGCTTCGTAGAGGATAGGGCTGCATGGGCGGAAGTTACTACAAGTTATTAATGTCATCTACAAACCTGACTAAGGGTGTGAAAATTGGCTGGAAATTCATTGAAGGTTTATGAGGATCCATTTATAAAGAGGTTTTTGTAACCATTTTCTGTGAGACAATAAGCTATCCTTTATGTTCAATACTTAGCACCAGCTATGTTCACAGCTCTGGAAATACGTCCTTCTTTAGCTTTTGTTATGATTATTTCATCCATTAAAAACTTTAGTGTTTACAGAGATGGTTCTTTGTCAGATCTGTTCAGTGGTTTGGGGAGAACCAATATTTCAATCCCGTTTTGGGCAAGTTAGCTAACATTTGTAAGTAAAAGAAATGATAAGGGCAAATGTGATGTTGGTTGGGAACCAGGAGACTACTATCTTTGGCCATCCCAGGAAGAAAGAGACTTTTTGAAGAGTTTTTAGAGGTCTGAGAAGTCCGTGCCTTACAAGATTCTTTGGTGAGAGGAAATCTTGGCCAGAAGAAAATTATCATCTGTATTTCCATCTTACCTTTGCCCTTTTTGCATTAGGTTCCAGTTATCCTTACTGCTGAGTGCAATGTCCTTTTTTTTTTCTTTAGCAACAATATTTGACTCCCACTTTAAAAAAAAAAAAAACTTCCAACACACCTTTTTCCTACAAGCTTCAGAATTCTGCATGTCTCTTCACATCTGCGCGTCATGGTGGAGCCCTGTGTCGCACAGGTGTGGAGTGCGGGTGCTGAGGAGAGCGCCTCTGCCCTCACTCTCTGTAGCCTTATGTGCTGACATGCGGAAAGATGAAGGGTTCGCACCACTGCTGTGAGAGAGCGTGACAGGGACTTTCGGTTCGGCTGTAATTCTCATCACCTGAGAAGGCTCCCGGGTAGCTCTGCCTCCCGAGCCACATGGCTGCTCACAGCCTCTGCTTCACAGGCACTCCCGGTCTCCACCCCCACACCGTCCCAGGTGGGTTAGTTCGCCATCAGCTGCTTTCCAGGGCTTCACAGATTCCCAAGTGTTGGAACTACGTGTTGGCCATCTCTTATGCACACGAGGAAACCAAGTCCCAGAAAGATGACTGGCGTACTCAGCATCGCACAGCCAGTTGTCGTGCCTCTCCTGGGCCTGGTCCCTAAGATCATGTGCCCCAGGTCAGTTGTCCCGTTAACTCCCTTCAGCTGCTAGCCGTGTTCCTTTAGCCACATGCTGACAGTCACTTGGGCTGTGGCACAGCCTCTGCTTGGATATTCTGCCACGCCCTCTCCTTCGGGTATGGTCCATGCCCCCTGCTACACGGGGGTTGCCTGCATTGTCACCTGATTTTAAAGCAGGGCTTGCAAAGGATGTTCACTTATTTTTAGTAAGACCAGTGTGGCCTCTGTGGAGCCATGTTTAAAAAGCTCACCACCAAGAAGTCACTGCTCCATTTGTCTTTCTGTTGATCTCTTTGGAGACCTGAAGATGTTGCTTATTTTCTTGAGTTGATATTCTACCTCTCTGGCAATTGGACAGATTGCTTTCATGGATAGACACTTAGTCTCGTGTTAGCTTGTGGAACCCTCCTTGAGTCATTCTGTCGTTGGTGTGAAATGGAGTGAGTTGAAACAGCTCAGGATGCAGCTGTGCTCCACTTCCTTGATGAGAGAAGGAGGTCACAGGGCTGACCTGACGGGAAAGACTAAACTTGGCATTTTTATCAATGCTACGTGTGTCCCCTAAGCCCCATTATCAGAGGAGTCCTCAACAGTGACAGTGTCTTGATGTGTCTTGTGTTTCCCCAAATTAAAATCCTACAACAAAGAATATATGCCTACTTGTCAAACTGACCTGGCCCCCAGATGCAGTTCTGCTGGGCTTAGGATAACCTGTGATCCCATCGGAGGTTGTAGGCCAGGAACCCGTGGAGGGGAGCACTGTTATGTGAGCATTTTTACTAGAGGCACATTTCTCACAGTGTCTTGAAGATGCGCTGTTCACAGTTTCATGGTTTAACCCCAGTGCTGAATGCTTTGAAGAAAATCTGTAAAGTTTGTATCTTCCCTTTTTACTTGAAAATATTTCATCCAGTCCTTGAACCTGGACATCTCTCTGTTACACCCCCGACTTCCACTTCGGGGTTTAGGTTACCATCACCATCTGTGTTTCATAAGGTTTCATCAGGAATGTAGGAGGGTAATGACAGTGTCTGCAAAAAAATGGCTGCCCTCTCCTTTGGTAGCTGCTTCATAACTGTCAAGCAAGTGGGTGAATTTATATTCTGGATCTTTCTTGGCTCTTCATCAGTCATAAACACATTGGCCTAAGAGATTTATCAGGATTATAGGGTTATAAAGTGTCACAGTGTATTTGCTCTAACTACTCCACGTGTCAGATGTGGATAGAATAGTTTTTAAAGTCTGGTAGCTATTCCTGTAATATCAGGTGTTCTTCCAGAGCCTAGACCATAATCCACACTTGGGAATCCACAGGTTCGTGATTTCTTCATTTTCCTGCCCCCTTTAATGTCTTGTCCTCCCTTCTGCTGCTCTCAGAAGGCAGAGGCAGCGTCCTGCGAGTTGAAACAGGCACTATTTTCAGAAAAGTAAACATACGTTTGCTCTCATTTGGATTTTTATCAAGCCTGTGTTCTAGAATCTAAACCCAATACCCACTGACTACCTCCTCCATTTTTTCTTATATTTCAGTCATTCGTTAAAATCTCATTCTTGGACAACTAAATTTTTAGAGAAGATCTAAACGTAACTTTTCTCATTCAGTGCTATGTCATTTCACAGTGCAGATCTGTAATTTTTGACAGCTCTTGCATACCAATTTCTAGAACTGTAATAGAGTGATTTTGCACATATGGTGCCAGCCGTGCTGGTGTATGTTTAATGTGGCGACACTTGCCGTAACTGCCTGGCAAAACATGTCAGCTAGAACGCTTGAGTCAGAACTCTAATGTAAATGTGTCTAAACAGCGGTATGCAGCACGACGATATATTTTTGTAAACACCGTGATGGCTTCTTTCAGTTGTGTAAGTACTGGATAAAAAGAATCTCTTCCCTTGGAATAACATAGGAAAATGCTACCCAGCTGATGGCCCTCTGCAAAGTTACTTGCATTGGCAGCTGGTGGCATTGGGTCTTCTTTTTGTGTTGTTTTTTTAGAGAGTGAAAGACTGATATCAGGCAGTGTGGAGTGCAAAAGTAACCCATCAGTACGTGCCTCCTGATAATGTTTACGCAGTAGAGACCGCTTCTACCCTCCACAGTGTATTCAAGTGCAAGAAACATTGAGAGGACTGGACTTTGTTCACTTAAGACCAGTTTGGTCAGTTTGGCTGTTGAACCACTAAATTACCAAATCTTTGTGTAAAATGGCCACATTCATTTTCCTCGTGACCATCCATAGCTGGCTAATACAAGGTCTAGGTGTTTATGAATCACGGTTCCCCAAATTGTGATGAAAATACATCTGCCAAGAAGACTCATTTAAAAACCTGTTCATTCTCAGAATAATTGCCACAGTACCAATGGCCCCATGGGTCTTGGCCACATTGGAAAACAATTTAGGCCCATCTGAAACCACTAACAACAGCAGCAGCAGTAACTGCAGCTGATACTCACTGAGTTCTTGTGCGCAGCTACTCACTAAGCACTTTACTGCATTGTCTCCTTTTAATACTCATAACCATCCTCTGAGTGGTAAGTTCCTGTTATTATCCCAGTTTATTGAGAAGGACACTGCTCAGGTACTCAGCTAGTAAGAAGATCACTTTGGGCTTAGTATGCAGGGTGACTGTTCAGTTTTCCCCAGTAGTCAAAGTTAAGTTCTCAAATCCCATCAACCCTTTGGGATGGATTTTGTTTAATTTATGGCATCAAGGGAAAGATGATATTTGTGTTATTAAAAACCACTTTTAAAACACATTGATGCTTATATATAGGACTTTATAAACCATACATCCTCTGGTAACTGCCCGGGTTCTGCAGTTTCTTGACTTACATAAGATTCCATGTTGAAGATTAGAAACAGATTTAAAGTAGTGAATAAATTAAAATTGCCAATTTGTTCACATCTGCTTCATAGATCTCCTGTACAAAAATGCAGGGATATAAAAGCAAAAGTATGAACTCAGTGAAGTGTGATACTCTTTGAGAACTCCTCGATGTTAAGAGATGGCGCTGGGCATCAGTGAGCTAATGTTTCATTCACTTTTCACATTTGTTGTATTTGTAGCCTTAGAATTGATGAGTCTGGTTTGGAAGAGAGGGATTTAATTTACGATGTCACTGTGAGAACTGTTGTGAAGAGTTCGTAGGATACAGTAATCTGTTGATTCTTTCCTGTAGTTATGGCTTTAACATCTCTTTGGCTGTGTTTAAGTTCAAGAGCCTGCCAAGGCCACGCAGGCCTGGCTTGTGTTTCTTGGGAACAGGGCATGCCAGACTGTGCGACTGGTCCAGAAACTGTCAAGGTCACTGGTCCAGCCTGCCCCTGCCCAATGTAAGCACTGCCTCTAAGTCTCTCCTCTCTGGAACTTCATGTAGCAGCCTAACACTGGGGCCAACTTGCCTTTACTCTATTTTCTATGATGAACACTTGTGGAGAAACTGTGACAAATCCATTGATCCTAATATTTTTATTGTTGGAGTCTTGTTGATTCTCTATGAATAATTTCTATTGGATTGTACTGTGTAGAATTAATACCCACTAGGGATATGTTAATAAAACTATAAATGCATAGTGTAATATAGAATAGCAAGATTTTTTTGTGAACAATTTATATAGAAAAGTAAGTTGTTTTTTAAGTGTTAGGCACATTTCTTTTAGGAACTTAAAATGTTATAAGAGTTTTTTAAACATTCAATATTTTTAATTATAAGAAACATTTGTTACTAGAGCCAATTATTTCAGGTGTTCTAATTGGAGTATTGATTTTATGACCTCATATACCTCTAGAATGCCACATGTTCTGTTGGAGATAAAATTGCACAATAAATGTCAAGTCTCTGTTAAGTGTTTCAACTTGCCGTTTTCATCTTTTCCCAATTCTTTGAAGAAGCTTTTCTGTTTGTTTGTTTGTTTGTTTGTTTTAAGAACTTTATGCCCCCTGAAACTAAGGCTTTTCTGCCTGTCTCTGAATGCCAAGAAAATATTACATACTTAATACCCAAATAAAAGATACTCCAGTTATGTCAGAGAACTGACC